TATTTATGATGTTTAAAATAGAAACAAAGTAAGACTTGAATATTGTTTGCATACGTATTTTTTAAGGTGGTTTAATTCTCCATAAAAAAAGCTCATGAGTGCCTAAAAAGGTTGCTCATGCTTATCACAACACAGTGGAAAAACTGATCGAACTTGGTAATTGCATACACAGTTCACATCAGTGATTGCCTGATTAGTAACAATTTGTGCACCAAAGCATGAATGATGTTCACCTCCCAACAAGTACTGTAATTTTCCTGGGGGCATAACATCAAACATAAAAGCCATTTCCATTAAGGATAAGTGCTGTCACTCATCTGTAAGCAGCAGGCTTCTTTTTGTTATCTAGGTCCCAGTACCAAGGGTTGGGATGACTATTGCAAAACACAGATTGATCTGTTTGTTTGAAAAACAAGGTGGGTGTAGGGCTGGGGGTCATTTCATGAAAGATCAGGTAAAAACGACTTCAGAAGGTTTGGGCACAAGCGTTCTTATTGGTTACCAAAGAAAGCAGTGCAGTTCATCTGACAGATGTTTGGCAAGAAAAAGTGATGAAGGAAAAAAGAAAGATAAAGAGATGAAAGGAAAAAAAAAACACCAAACACCCCAAACCAAAATCCTCCTTATTTTCCAAGTAACATAACAAAGAAAGCAGCTGAACACAAAGGGCAGCACAGACAGACGAAGCTGACACTTAACATCAGTGCTGAAGAGGTTATCTGGGACCTCCTGTGAATCCTTATTTGCAGGTGAAAAATGAATGTATATAAAGGAAATTCACAGTAAGCATTGCTATTCCTTTGAACAAAAAATCAGGGAGCAGAAACGCACTCATATGTAACCACTTTCCAGTGAGGTGCTTGGTATGTTGCCTTTAGGAAGAATAATCACCTTCTTTGTGTACACCTAACATGCTTTTATATGCACGCAGGTATCACTGATCTGTGGATGCTCATTCTGCATCACCATATTTTCATTCTGCGTTAATTATGGCAGTCACTGAATGAGCTCCTGGCAAAGTGATGAGGGCCGGGCAGCACAGAGGACCAAAATATGCTGTCTCCTCTGGGGATGCACCCAAATACCCTACAGTTTTCCTGTGTGGCAGAACTGCAGAGAAATCCTCCCCATCTCCAGCAACTGCAGCGTTAGGACCTTGCATTCATCTAGCTGTGCTAAGGTTTGCTTGTGGTGGGCACCTGGTTTTCATTATGAAATCCTAAGGAAATAGTACCCAGAGCAAGTTGAGCCCCAGTGATGTAATTTCGCCTAACTTAAGAGACTTTGCTTTGCTACTGAGACTGGACCAAATTCCTCCACAGCCAAATTTGCACTGGTATAAGTTAGTAGCTAGGTATATGGTGCAATAAGCAGAATCCCCTCTCCTGACGGTTTGGGTTGCTGACCCAAACCTTCAGAGCTGTGTCTTTAAGGGAGGAAAAATAAGAAAGTAGCCTGTGGGAAACGTGTTTATTTACAAGCATTAGCAAACACTTTTTGGGAAAGATGGGATTTTTGTAGTGCAGGCTTTATCATGCAGATTAAAAAAGGAACTTTTCTTTTTTTTTTTTTTTATTTAAGAGACTACCCTACAGATCTGATAAGTATTTAGGTCTCCCTCCAGAGATGTTCCCAGTCACACAGGTCTTCCCATGCAGCTGAAACCAGCATCCAGACTTTTGCACCAGCAGTATAAATGGAAGCAGGGCCAAACTTTGCTACCCAAGACATGGTTTTCAGTCCTGCATCTCTCACGTATAAAGACACGTCTGTTTGCCCTTAGTTGGAAGGTCAGCTAGTTGCTCCCCTGCACAGCATGACCACTAGCCAACAGCTATTAGTATCCACGGGGCTTCAAATCCTTGTATGCAGACTTGGGCTACTGCCGATTCCACATCTGTATAGCAATCTAGCAATTAACTTTGACAGGGCAGGACAATACAAACGTATTATCTGAGCTGAGGACCATTACTTTCCAGGGCACCATGTTCTACTGCTCTTGCAATGGGGCAGTTTCACCTGTAACGCCACAGCAAGTGTATAGTTCCTTTGGTAAGCCCCTTGGAAAAAAACTTTGGAAAACAGCTGTTCATCACCAGTATGCCCCTTCAGAAGATCTGTATGCTTGTGCTGTTGGTACCAGAGTAGTAAACAGAATGGTGTAGTTGCTGAGGTTTGTAAACTGATTTCCTCAGTTCTTCTCCCCAGTTATTCCTGTTGATTTGTGACCTTGTTCAAACCACCAGTTTCCATTTTGCTTCCTGGCAAAGCTCACTCTGCTCTAGAAATAAGCTGTTGCAGGCTACCCAATGAAGACAGCAGCAGGCAGGTCCAAAGCTAAGCAGAAGTGGCTCCTTGGAGGATGCATGAATGCTTCCCCATAAGTTGCCGTGGACATGACCAGTGCAAGGAGAAACCATGACCTCTGTATGGCTTTTCCTCTCTCTTGCTTGTGCCTTCACTCAAGGGCCACCACCACATCAGTGCACAAGCTCTGCATGCCACAGGTATCTGTAATAGCAATGGGTACACAACACCATGATGCCTGCAGTGCTATGATTTCCTTATAAATAGAAATCACAAATGGCTAAGGAGAAATATACATGAAGAATGTATGTAACCATGCGAACTGAAGTACCTGAGGATGGAAGAAAAGAGCACCTTTATCAACTTAACACCACCTTCTTGATGACATTGCATGCTTGAAAGTGGATCACTGCTGCAAATACTTTAGGTAGTCCTCAGCAAAGCATGTCAGCCTTATCTGTCATATATAGAATCATAGAATGGTTTGGGTTGGAAAAGACCTTAAGATCATCTAATTCCAACCCCCTGCCATGGGCAGTGACTCCTCACACTAAACCATGTCACCCAAGGCTCTGTCCAGACAGGCCTTGAACACTGCCAGGGATGGAGCATTCACAACTTCCCTGGGCAACCCATTCCAGTGCCTCACCACCCTAACAGTAAAGAATTTCTTCCTTATATCTAATCTATACTTCCCCTGTTTAAGTTTAAATCCATTACCCCCTGTCCTACCAGTACAGTCTCTGATGAAGAATCCCTTTCCAGCATCCCCATAGGCCCCCTTCAGATACTGGAAGGCTGCTATGAGGTCTCCATGCAGCCTTCTCTTCTCCAGGCTGAACAGCCCCAACTTTATCAGCCTATCTTCATACAGGAGGTGCTCCAGTCCCCTGATCACCCTCGTGGCCCTCCTCTGGACTTGTTCCAACAGTTTCATGTCCTTTTTATGTTGAGAACACCAGAACTGCACACAATACTCCAAGTGAGGTCTCATGAGAGCAGAGTAGAGGGGCAGGATCACCTCCTTTGACCTGCTGGTCATGGGTTGGCAACAGCCCACCTCACAAGCGTGTCAAGGTCCCTCTGGATGGCATTCCTTCCCTGCAGCGTAACAACTGAATCACACAGCTTGGTGTCATCAGCAAACCTGTCATGTCCATGTCAGCGACAAAGATGCTGAACAGGATCGCTCCCAGCACTGACTTCTGAGGGACAGCACTTGTTACTGGTCTCCAGTTGGACATTCAGCCACTGACATCTGACATGGAACTGGGGTAGCTGAGTTGCTGTAATGTTTCCTCAAAACACTCAACAAAAATCATACTGCGATACCGGGAGATTAGTCAAGATCAGGAAATAAATTCTTCAGTGGTTACAGAAGAGACAGAAACCACATCCATTGCAGGAAATGCCTGAAGCTAAACAATTGCTGTTGGTGCCTGGACATTCATTTATGTCTCCAGTGGAGACAGGATACTACACTAGTGATGCAATGGTCCACGCTAATGCAACGTGACATGTGTGCATTAAAACAGTCTGCTTCATGCGCTAAGCTGGGAGGTACTGAGGGCCTTTCAGAGAAGCAAAGTCTTTGAGCACACTTAGACTGCAGGGACTGGTCTTCCTCTAGGTGCAAACAGCCTCTACTGAGATGCCTGCCAGTCTCTGAGCACACCAAGGTCTCAGTGCTGAGGTCTATAAGGGAAAGCAAATACTTCCAGCTGCTCTCCCAGAGAATAAAATGTTTCAGAGGGTAAAGAAACACAAAGAAGAGGTGGATCTGGCAAAGAGAAAGGGAGAAAACAAGAAAGAACTGGTCTGAAAAGAATTTTCATTATTTTTGTGAGAAGAGAGTCATAACGTAGAGCAAAGATAGCTCTTACAGCAGGTGCAGAAGCCCAAGTCAGCTAATCATCTGAATGTGCTTGAGCATCAGTTTCATTTCCAGCAACAGCCACCAGCACTGCAGTAGAAACAAAGGCTCACCCCAGAGAAAGTGAAAAAATGAAATAACTGAAAGAAAATGGGGTAAAAGAGGAGGAAAACTTGGTGAAGAGCTATTTGAGTGAAAGCAGAAGCAGTCTGAGAGCCTCTTAAAACTTGACAGGTTATGTTTAGGTTACAACAGTACGTATCTTCTGCTGAGCACTCAGATAACAGAACCCATTTGGTGGTCGGCAAGGTTTGCTTGTGCAGATATTGAGGTAGTGCAAAGGTTGGGTGGGAGAGGGGGGTGGCATGCAGCAGGAGGGGTTGTTAAGAAAGGAGCAGGTAAGAGAAATAGGTTGTTCTGCTGCATTCATCCAGCACCAGCAGGCCTTGATACTCAGCATGAGTTTTACAGTTTGAAAATCTGTGAAGGTTGCACTGAGAGGGTGAAAACCTTGCAGCCTCCACCCCAGAGGAAGACTGTGATTTTAGGAGAAGTATTTAGATTTCTTTATAAAGTTTATATTGAAATAGTTTCATTTTCTCCACTAATTAGTTGAAGAAAACAAGTTTTTCTTGGTTTATTAGTTTATAAGTGGGAAAAACTACTTCTGGAAACAAGAGAACATCACGAATTTTGGGAGAGGTGTTCGAGTTCAGGATCTTTGCTATGAGCTCTGTGCACACCAAGGCAGTCACCAAACCCACATAGTCATCTCTGTATCAGGGAAACAGGAGGAAGGCAGGGGGAGAGGAACTATGAATCAATTCGCCTAAGAAACAGTAAATATTTTTTCTAGTTTCACCACTCTTTACAGAAGACTTCTGGATCTGTTTCAATCATGTCAATTCCTATTGCCATCCTGCTGCAGTCAAGCCAGGCAATCAGATGTCTGAAGCTCCTGTGCAGAATATCAACATGGTCTAAAAAAAGCAATAGCGAAGCTGAATAAATACACAGGTTTTGCTTGGTGCTCTGAAATCACTGAAATCTTTAGAACAGATTGAAACAACCGCTTGCTTAAGAAAAATATCTTAAAGAATGTCTTTTCCTGACCTCCACTTTTATCCTGATTGTAGTGGGAAGATGTAAACACTCAGTCAGTCTTGGATCAGAATGGGAGTTTTATTACATCTAGTTTTTATCACAAACCTAGAGGACAATGTATTATACCCATGCTCTGTGGCTTCATGTTCTTTCAGCATAAACAAACACATTCAGAAGTTATCTGTGCTCTGAAAAGAAAAAAAACCAAACTTGCTGTTTCAATTTTTTCTTTCTTCAGAGTTCAAGCTTGTTGTTCTCTAGAGTTGTTTCTACCAAGTTACTGGAAGGGATGCCAGAACTGATTTAATACTGGCGTGCTTGATAGCTACTTCAGAAGTGAAGATGGCCCTTCCCATGGAATGCACTGAAGACTTATGCTTCTATTCAAAGTTGCCAGCTAGTTATTAAGATCTCCTTAAGCCATAGAGGCTTTCCTCAAGACTTACTAAGAATGTTAAAAGGCATCTTGAAAAGGAGACTGCCTTCCCTGTTGGTATCAGTCAGCCTGGTCACAGTAATTTGAAATACAAATAGCTCAATTACTATTACCTGGGCTGTTGCAGACAGTGTGGGGCTCCCTTTTTACCCAAACTTAATGCTCCTTGAACTACAGGTAGAGAAGAACTTGAGCTAAACTGGGACTATACAGTCTGCTTGGCTTTGCCCTCGATACACAGCTGTGCAGGTTGCAACTTTGAATAGTAACAGCAAAAAAGCCCAAGGATGCATCTTTGCATGTAGGGGTGCAAACAAAATGGCTTTGTTTTCCTTCCATATCTAGATTGATTTGGATAATGATGGTTGCAAACTGAACAAAAAAATGAACATTGCAAGCTGCAGCCAGAGCAAGTCACAGTATTTCCTGTCATGTTTCAAGTGAGTTAATATTTTGAGTTTATTTTTTGGTCCCTCAATTTTTACAAGGTTGCAAAGTTCATTGCTGCAAGCAAGTCAGTGTGGCAGCATACGGTTAGGCTTGGTTTTTCTATTTCCTGTTAACATTAAAGAAATTATTCTCTGATTCGTAAAGCAAAATAAGCTCCCTTTTGGGACCTTGGACACAAACCAACATGTGATCAGCCCCAGCAATAATCTTATCAGGCTGCCATTGTACTTCTTCACAAGTGCCGGCAAAGAGGGGCAGCTGGCATTTATTTTTAAACTTTAAAATGGTCATGAGAGATGGAAGTGCTTTGGGAGGAATTCGTCATGGCTCACAATGATAATCTTTGTTAATGAAGCTCCAAGGCTTCTATCCGTAAGGGGCAAATAATAAGGTGCAGAAACGTTTACAAGCCCATAGGGAATTCATCAACGAGGATCCTCTAGTAAAAAGGCTGAAGAAGGAGTGTGCAGGATTTGAAGAGGATATTTATACCAGAGACAACGTTAAAATGCCAGGGTGCTGGTACACACACACACAGGGGCTCAGCTTGTTAGTAGGTTGCTGTCACTGCTTGTAAGTCTTGCATTCCCTCAAGTGCCCTCCTTCGCTGCCCGTTGAGGGAACAGGAAGGGGACAAGCTTGGATTGAAGCTACCTGTGAATTGGAAATCTCTGTGATGATATCACTTGGGGTCTCTGTGGGTGTCCCCCAGAGCCAACACAGATGCACAACTTTACATGTAATTGCAAGGCCATGGTGCAGGGTTTCTCTATAAGAGCTGCTGCCTCTTCTTGTCCCCATTGCTCCGTGATCCAGAATTCCAGCCAATAACACCCCAGCGGCCACCATAGAGAAGTTACGGATAAGTGCCATCTGCGAGTGGTTCACCACCTGGGTCTGCTGACCACAGATGTGATTAAGTAGCCATTTCTAATAGCGGAGGGTACCTGCCTTACAGACACAGAGACTGAGTGGGTGTTCACACATGGAAGGTTAAAGTTATGAAAAAGCTATTGGATTATATGCCCTTGACTAACAGTGAAAGACAGGAGATCTTCTCAGGGGTCTCATGGCATGTGACAGACAGCCCATTGCAGAAACAAGACATGCTAGATCTTGAACACTCAGTTGCTGCTAAATCAGAGCACACAGCTATGGACTCCCAAGCCTGCTACAACTATGAATGATCAAGGAGACAGAGATCCCTCAATGTTGCCTCTACTTCTGGCTTTGAGGAAAATTTGAAAGCTGTGTGAAATGCAAGGGAATGCATTTCTTTCTATACTCTTATCATTCAAAAATCAGAGGTACTGAGCCTTGTTTGACTGTCAGAGACACAGAGCACTAACAAATGCCCCATGTTCCCTTTCTTCCACAGGTTCAAACCCATCTTGAAGTCTAAAGGAGTTTCGTCCAAGGGCTGACCAAATGACTGATGCCCAACTCCCAGTAATTGTGAAGTGCCATGGCAGGTTCCCAAGGATACTTTAGCAGGGACACAGTGATTGAAGATGCCAGGCACAGCCCTGCTGTGTGCAGGTGGTGGATCCTGGCCAGGGGAAGCTGGGGAGCACCTGGTGTCTGTAGCTCCTGGATGAGGAAGTGTCGTACAAGCAACGTTCATCTTTCCTCTCTCGCTCTTGAAACAACAGGCCAGCACCTGAGGTGAGCTGAGACTGACAAGGACCTGAGGTTTTTTCCTCCTGCTCTCTGTGAAGCCTTTTGCATTTCCTGGGCAGGAATCATTTCTGTATGCAGGTGACAGCTTGGTCTTGCACCACAGGTACAAGGCCAGCATATCTTTAACAGTTTTACGACTTCATGCAGGATGTACAGCACAGCCACGGGGTTGAGAGCAGTGACTGCTGCCTTCTCTGATGAGCCTAAAGGAGGATTGTACAGGAGGCTGAATGAGAGGTTTCCAGTCATCCCTTTCCAACCAGACAAGACTATGTGGCTGCACTTTTCTCCTCCTGAAGTTCTGGGCAGCTGCTATAACTCTTCTCATGAGATCTCTTGGACAGGGGGAGAGGCTGGTTAGGAATGTTGATTTCAAACTAGAAATAACAGCTTGCATCAGGTTTGCACGTTTAGGAGAAGGAAGAAAATTTCCAAAATCTCACAAGGTTCTTGAGGCCATTTCCATAGCATTTACGAATCTAACATAACCCAACTGCGTTTAGTTCATCGTGGGTAAAGGTCTGGTCCCCCAGGATTCTGGGCAAGATTGCTTGCCTAGATTCTGTCTGAAACACACAATGCTTCAGAAAGCCACCACCACAGCTGTCAACAGGCAATTGGTCCCGAATGAAGGACCAATTTAAGGGAGCGATTTCATTTGTCTCCTTTTTTTCTTCTTTTTATATTCTTTCTTTCTCCTTTCCTTTCAGGTTACTGAAAAAAAAAAGTTTCTTAATCTCAATTTTATTTCAATAAACACTTAAAACCCCTCCTCTTCTTGAAGTCGTTCTATAATTTCATATGACACCAAATGGGAACAGACCAGTCAATATGCACGAGGGCAGGGCTGCTGTTTGAGGGGCTGTGACAGGGTGAGGAATGGTTCCAATGGGGTCCATGCACTTGGGTGGGAGCAGCACACAGCCTGGGCCCAGGCAGGCAGAGCCATGCCAGAGATGCCAGTGGGGCCAGTTCTGTGCCCTGGCATGTAGCAAGGCGTGAAAACCAGGCTAGAGAGAATGGAGGTAAATGAAAGTGCCTTTTCCCACATGACAGCACAGGGAGGTAACACCATCTTGATCCTTGGAGATTTCCAAGCCTTAGCTGGAATAGAGCTGGATGAGCAAACTCATCTGATTTCGCATCTGACCCAGCGTGGAGCAGGCAGCTGGTCTACAGACCTCCCAAGATCCCTTTCCCTCCCTGCTACTCCTGTTTTATTTTGATTGTTCTCCTCTTTGCAAGTTTCTGAAGAGGATCATTACATAGATACAGAAGATATGTAAGTCTTATCTTCAAGCTAGGCTGCATGTTTACCTTTTTCAAAGACCTTGTTCTTCCAGTGCTTTGTCAGATAATCACAAAGAACAATAAGTTGGTAAATAAAAAAGCCTCCAAATTGCAATCTCTTTCCCTATTCAAGTCTGATTTGCTTTTGAATAACATTGTATTCCAGTACTCCTAGTTCACTGCACATCTGGAAGCTGCCAGAAACAATGGGCTACGCTGGTTGAATTCTACCCTTTTTCCATAAATATGCAAAAAGTTTCATATATATAAGAAAAAATAATAATCTCCATTTGGTTCTCACTAGAAGAGAATTTTAAAAATTGCATCTGGACTTCCATAGCTTTAATGAGTAATTATTTTCTCCAAGAGAATAATCTTACCTTCAGCTTTCTATTTAAAATTAAATTTGCCTTTGCCTTGCGTTCCTTCTTTTTTTTAATGCAGAAAATTCATCTTCCTGTAAATCTATTCCTACACAAATTTTTTTGCAACAGCAAGTTGCAAATATTTTAAGATGATTTTTGGGATGTGACCCCATTATTATAATGCCTCTGTCAGAGGGGTCTTTGGAGAGCTTTCAGAGCTTTATTGGAAGAGGGAGAGCATCCCAAAGTGCTGTTAACCCTGGCAGCTGCTCTTCCCATCTGAGAAGTAATAAGTAGCTTTTTTTCTGTTGTTTGGCTTGGGTTTTTTTTTCTTGTGTTTGTTTGGTTTTCTATTGTTTTGTTTTTGCCTTTTTAAAGGAGTTAGTTTGTTTTGCACAGCTGAAGATGAATCAGAGAACAGTAATCAAGACCAGCGTGCGTTTCTGCCTGGCCAAGGTGAGTATTTACGCACTGTACCAGTCTCCCAAGGGTACCTCCTACTCTGTTCCATGTACCACAGAACCGATGTCCTCCACCTCCTGGGTGTCAGGGACAAAACCATGGCTATTTTCCAGGAATGCAGATTCACCGAAGCCACCAAGATGCAGTGACTCTGCCTGCTGAAGTGGGTGCTCAGAACCACCTGTGCCTTCCTGTGAAATGTTCAGCACAATGTTACCACAAGCGTACTCGTCAGTGTGCTGCCCAGGGTCAGTCCCCCTCTGTGCTTTCCACAAGTCACAGATGTACTCCTGAGGCGGCTGTATGCCAATTCCCACGTAGCAAAACATGATCAAGCTAAAAATGGTTATGCGGTTTGTGTCAGGGGGAGGGAAAAACCGAAGTGACAGACCAAAGCTAGAAATCTGGAAAAATCAGCTGGGAACAAGATGATCTAGCCAAGATCTGCTGTGCTGCCAGGTGCTGGAAATAACACTGCTGAAATAAACCCAGACAGAGGATCAGCTGGTGCAAGATGGAAGCACAGTGACTACAATAACAGGATGCGCCTCTGGCAGGCAAGATGTTGAGCCAATGCTTTTCAAAGGTTCAGCCATTGCAATCTTGTCTTCGTGACAGGAAATGGAAAAAAAAAGGCCATTTAATGTGGAAGCATCGAAAGTGCTGAGATGGCTTGCTCTCCTCCCTGTGGGAAGCGACAGCAGCAGTGCTGAGATGCTGGTGTGACACAGGAATGTAGGAAGTTAGGGGACAGCTGGAGAAGCAAAAAGAAATCTTCCCTCCAAGCCTAAGTGATTCTTAGGTTAACAGCTCTCATGCCGTGACTGCACACTGCTGATGAACTGGCAGTTAATAGTTATTGTATCAAATGTATGCTTTGGGACACCATTCTGCCAGGGAGCATCTTCAGCTAACTGGCTGCTGTTCAAGGGCTGCTAAGCCACTGCTGACATTGCTGCCTGGCCATACTTGCATTTCTTACTTGTTTCGTTCTAACACAATGGAATACTAAGAAACGAAGGTTAAACAGCAGATGTGCTGACTCTCCCCTTCAGCCAGTTCAATGAAATAGGAAACCACAGGGGGTTTTCAGCTATTTACAGAGCTGAAAGTTCATAGCCTTCATGGATGCTCCACAAGGTAGATTAGATACTTCACATATTCTGTGCTAATGCTTGGTCTGCTGACAGCTATCAGGTGATAATTTGTTAGCCTTTTAGTATAAACAGCATTGAAAACCCATCACGGGAAGTATTACAACTACCTCACCTCAGAATTATTTACACTTTGAATTCCCATTATTTCTGCAGAGGGGAAGGCTTTGTTTCACCTTTATTGCTCAGTGGGTGCCTTAAGGTTTGCCCGATCTCCATATTAGTCCCAATTTTCATAAGAGAAGATTTCATTTATATATATATATATATATATATATTTTAGATCTGATTTAGGGACTGTAGTTTTGAGGGTTGGAACAACTGCTTTGGTTTTTGCTGGGAGTTTCGATTCCCTGCGCGAGATAACACACGAGCTCATCAGCTAACATTCTAGTTTAAAGTGAAAATGTTTATGAACAGCTTGCTCTAGCATAAGAAGTTACTTTCTGGTTAGCAACTGCAGACTTCAAGCTGTCCTGACTTTCTTTTTTTCTCAGCATATTTCTCTCTGTCCTCACAAGACATGTGGTTGAGTCACTTGACTGTCTGCAAACAGGAAAGGCTGTCCAAAATACAGTATGATGCATGGCAAGGATGCCCCTCCAGGGAGCAAACTGCTGATCTTTAGATCCATCTACTCTGGATGTTGTTTGGAATCATGCTAGTACAGGCAGGCTACTTTTGGAGCAGGGGCTGCTGCCTTTTACACTACCAGTGGTTTTATAGCTCATAAATTCATGAGCACTGCAACACCCAGCTTGAGCCTATGCATGCTATACTGCATGAGCCAGAGTTGCCTGGGAGTCTGCTAGGTTTTGGTTGAGTCTGTTCCCTAAACCGAAATTGAGTGAACATTGACCAGTGTTTTCTAGAATTCACCTCCACAGAGAATGTAAATCAAATCATTGATTTAGTTTTTGCTGGTTATCATTAAATTATTTAGCAAATAGCTGTATTTTTTCAAACAAAAATGTTTTTCTTGAGCTATTATTTGTCTTCCTGAAGTTATGAAATTCACAATTTTATTAATATCTCCTTGTTGATCAGGAGCTTTATGCTTTTCAGTTTTACACAATATGGACATTCTTGAGCTGCACTACCAGCAAGAGTTAAGAGTTCTACATGGGGCTTTTCCCAGTTTCCCCTTCACTTGCCTTTCACTTCTGCATTTTCTGTCATTATCTGAATAACCTTCTAAGTGAATGAAACAAATCCACCTTGACACCCTCACAATAAGGAAAAAGATCCATGGTCTAGGAAATGTGAATTTAGAATCACTGAAAAACTTTAACATAATTTATTAAAACTCTGGGGAAAGGAATGAAAATGAAATCTTTTTTTTTTTTTTTTGTGAATATTTATTTATTTATTGTCTTGGGTTACATATGTCTTTATTTGGCAAATCTTGCATTTAAATTAAGGCTAGATACTGGCTTTTAGAAAGGAAAATGGCATTTGCTGCAGGTTTCATATCTCTCCGTACTTAGTAGTAATGAATGATAAAACTGTAAATAAAAACTAACGTTTAAGAGGGATTTATTTTTCCCTGACATTAGTGTTCTAAGAAGTTATTTGATATAAATGTGCCCTTTTTTTCCTATGAGTTCTGTGTCTTCCTGGTAAGAAAGTAACAAAGGCAATGTCTGGACCTTTTTAATATAACATTTTAGTTACTAATATTTAGTCTCAGTAAGAAGCGATGCAAAATACTCTTTTCTATTACCATTCCAGGAATTCATCAATTTGTGTGTGGGCTGCATTGTGCTTTCTTAAGGCTAAGCCTTTTCACTCAAAGCATGAATATGTTTAACAAAAGATGAAGAAAAATTACCATAATGATTTTCCAAGAAACATTAATTCACTGTTACCATTTGCCTGAAGAATAAAGTAAAATCCTTTCTCTTTTAAAATCTTTAGTAAATCTACCTTATAAATCTCTCTGAAAAAGTAGTTGCCATAGCATTAGTCCAGCTAATAATTGATATCTCACCTGCAGACTTTCTACCAGTCTGTTCGAATTAGTCCATCATGAGGTTGATGTAGAGCTGGAATATTTATTCCTGCTCATAACAAATATTCTCAGAGCTTTTTAACTTCAGTACTTTTGAGGTCTTCAAAGGAGCATAGAACATCTGACTAGTGAAATCATGTTTAGCACAAGTTTGGACTTTATAAACTGTCTCATGTTGGATGAAGACATCTTTCATCATAATGAAAGCTGATTTCCAGAGGATCAAAGCTCCTTCAGGTGTTCCTCTTGCTAGTGCAGCATCCTGTTAAACAGAAGAATTTTCTGCATAACTCTATGGATGATCTGTGTGATGAACTAAATTACTTTTTTTTAAGTAGGCATATACATTTTATTGACAGTATTACACAATTTGTCCACAGTTTTACAGAAAATGCTAACCCAGGCTGTGGCTTTATCAAATGAACAGTTTTCCAAGTCCTGTCTCTTTCAGTGGCTTTCAAATAGTGAATTAGCATTCTGGATGCCTCTCTTTGGTCTTTCAGCTACCAGACTTCCTAGAAATGAATAATTAACACAGAAAGATACTGATCATTTCCCCCTCACTGCTGGTTAAAATACTGCAGCCTTGAATGAACAGCACAATACAGAAACAGCAGCTGAGGTCCAGTAGGGACCTCAAAAGCAATTTACTGTAGGGTTGAGCCTGCAGACAGGAGGTCCCAGTTCTCACCACTGGTTTTGAAGCCCTTTTTAAGGATCCAATTTGCTCTTTTTACTGTACCAGACCTTTGAAGTCAGCAAGGTATAACTTTTCTTCAGTGTCCATTAATTGTGCGTGAGCTGTACAGACCTCTCTGCCAAAGAATGATCTTCCAACAGAGCTAATTTTGAGGTCAAAGTGCCCCTCTAGCAGTGACTTCTGCCGTAATGTGTTTTAACAGTAAAAGTGTCAGTCTGTTTTTCAAGACTATCAAGTGCTGGTTCCCTCAGCTGTTTTTGGAAGTGGCTCCAGAGTCTTGATCTGAACTTCAGCATGAATCTGGAAGTGCTTTTGGGTTCAGTGGCGCATTACACTTGGTTACCGCAGCATTATTTTATACACAAATCACCAGCAACATTGTTTTACATTTCATTTTGTAGTAGATATCCTGTTATTTTCAGTAGAAGTTAGATTTGGGATTCACACTGCTGGTTCTTTTATGCAGTTTATTGCTTATTAAATACTCTTCTATGATCTTTGTACTCCTCTTTTTTTTGGAAATTCTGCATCAGTATTGCCTTTTCCACAGGCTTTTCCAACAGTTTTGGTATGGCAAGCTCTCTGTTCTGTGGTTTAATGAGAGTGACAGGAAACAGGATAGCTTTTGCTGTAGTTTGATTGCAGTCTGTATAAAATCTCTCCATATTTTGACCTTACTTTGCCCTGTGATTTGCCAGGTTGTCTGGGTTTTGGTAGGGTTTTCTTCCCCATATTGAGATAAAAATTATTCTCATTTACTATTACCTTCTCCCACTTGATAGGATGGTGTTTACATGTTTTTTTCACTATACGACCAGAAAAGGTGACACTAATATTTTACTGATTAAGCAGAAACGTTGCGAGTGCTTTGCAAATCCAACTAAAATGTGAAAATAGTACTGGACATGTGACTGCACTGTTATAATACCCATTGATCAACTCAACAAACCGAGGTGATATAAAATAGCAGTGGGTGCTCAAATTTCTAACTACATTTAATATGCATACCATGCCTTAAATATTTCATTTCAGCATTGTAATAACTCCTTTTAACAACGGGAAACTTTCTGGCACAGATGAAGATCTGTGAGTGGTGGGTAAGACTAAAATAGTTTTGCGCTTTGGTAGATTTGTACTACCAGCACCACGCTGGAGAGGGATGCCACTGTATAAAAGTGCCCTTGGTAACAAAGAGGGTTTGTTTTAGGCTGGCTTCTTTTGTCCATATGTTAAAGATGCCATCTAGGAACACAGTCTGGTGCTGGACACCAAACCATCTTGAGAATTGCCCCGAAGTGTGTCTTTGGTTGGAGAGCATTGCGTGTAAGTGTTAAATTAAGTATTCAAAGACATTAGACAAAACCAGCATGAAAAACCATGAAGAAAACCAACCGTAACACCACTGTGCATTAGCTATGCACCAGACCAGAGCCAGAGGATTAGCAAGACTCTGAAGGATCTTTCCTATCTCCATAGCACAGCAGACAGGAGACTAAACACCCTGTCTGACAGACCAGGAACACTGAATGAATTCATAACTCGACTGTTACTTCTGAAAGCATTTTCTAGAGCTAAGGCACTGCAGGTCTCAGCTTTGGAGTCTAATGATTTATAGAAATCTAGAATGGCAGCTGCAGTCAGGTCAAGGACAACATCACAGGGAATAACAAGTGACAACAACCCTTACTTTCCCATTATCTCCCATGAAATACTTTCAGTCTAGCAAACTGTACTTGTAAGGGGCAACCTATGCTTTTTCATACTTCCTTGATGAAACAGTAATTCAGTTTAGCTCTAAGTCCTTCGAGAACCAGCAGGTGGTTTTGGATACACTGCCTACCTCACCACATGCTGTATGTGTGTTTTACCACATCTGTGTATGAATAGCAAAATTGTATTTGTTTCCTAGCTGTGTAATGATTCGATGATGTACTAAACATCTCCCAAGGAAGCTGATCTCTCTGCTGCTCTCCCCTGCCCCTCTGTGGAATGGTGAAAAGCATCACAAAACCCTTCAGAAGCATTTTTCAAACTGTTTCTGACAAACTCTAGGATCACTCTGAACTTACAGGGAAATACCACATCTCACACACTTTGATGTCTTGGTAAAAGTATCAGGTGTGTTTCTAAACTGTGCCTTCTCAAATACATCCAACCTCATACAGCTGAATTACCACTTCTTCAAGATAAAGTTTTTTACCTTAGATCTGCAGTCATGAAGCAGAATCCACTGGCTCTAAAAACCCTAAAATCAGCCTCCAAAATCTGTGCATTATTAGTTTGCCATCTTTGCCCAATTTAACATAAGCTAGAACATTATGTGATGAGAAGCAGCTGGTGACACTATGGCAGTTGCCTAATTCCTGATGCAGAGAGAAGCGCATTGCTTTCATGGCCAGGCACTGTGCTCATGGACACAGGAGCCACATTCTGGTGTTTCTGTTAGTGGTTTCATCTCCATGTGCTCAAGAGGTTAATAGCTGCCTTTTCAGTAACAGAGCAAACTGGAGCAGTCATAAGGTTGTAAACTTGGGGAAGTGAGGAGAAAAAAAATGCTGTATCAGTATCAGTATGAAAATTAAACAGAAAGTCCTCCTGCCATGTGAGACACCACTACAGCCATCATAATAACAGAAATGAAGAACAGGATCTGAAAGCCAAAGGCATGTGAATGGCTTGTGAGATGCAATGGTAGCTGTCCTCACCTACAGCCACATTGCTTCATCCCCTGAAATGACATACTGTGACATTTTTAGTCTTCAGATTGCACGTTATCTTCAGGATCAACCTCCCACCTTTTATGAGGATGTCTCAGTGCCTTTGGGTTTTGATAATCCTTTAGACAGAGTGAGTTTGAGGCAAAACTGTGTAATTCATATTTATATGAATTATATTTTTGTAATTTAGGGGAGGAAAAAGGACAAACCTTCACCCTACTGGTAATATCCGTGGTACAGATTTCCTAACATTAAGGCAAATCTTTATTAGCAGGGAAAGATTGACTACTGTGAAGGAAATTGCTAGAAGAATCTTAAGACTTTTAGTTGGATCTTCTTGCTTTCAGAAATATTCTGGTGTCTCTGAACATTCACAATCTGACTCCAGTACCTTACTATGCTTTTCATTTCAGAAGAGTTAAGCCTCTTTTAGAACTGTTTGAATGGGAAGCTAATTTGTCTATAATTGCTTCTGAACTTTCCCCATAGTTCATGTACACAGCTTCACTGGCAGCTAACATGGCAACTCTTGGTTATTTTTTATTTGCAAGGATATGATGTCATAGCTTTCAAATTCAGAACATGAATTCTTTTTGTTTCATGCCTAAAGATGCTGGCATAAAAATTGGAGTTTTTATGAAGCTGAAGTTTTTAGCATTAGCCACATGGCCCTGACAAGTTTTTCTTCCAGCTGTGCTATGTGCTGAGCACATGGAGGGATTAGTACACATACCAAATTGTCTGTATTTGCCTTTTTTTTTGTTTGTTTATTTATTTTGGTTTTAGATTTGAAATCTTGAGCACCTAGGGATGGGGAAAGTTTCTTCTCTGTGGCTGTAAGGCACAATGTCTACCATAGCAATTAGCCGTAGGGTATTACTAACCTCCTCTCCATACACAGACTGCTTTCTTTCAGAAACTGGGATAGGGAGGGGAGGTGGACAGGAATTTTATTTGCCTATTTGTTAAATATAACTGGGACTTGTTAAGGCATCAAAGAAGCAGAAATGATCCTTTTTTTTTTCTAACGTATTTCTTCTCCTGAGCTGGAAACATGACCCACACCTCTAACGAACCTCTATCTCATTGGGTCCCTACAGTCCAGCCACCTGCTCCCTCAGCAGCAGGAATGAGACAAACCTTTGCCTAAAAGGCTGGCTGGTACCTCCTGTGTGCTGTTCTCTGACCCACGATCCTTTCCAGCCCCACGGCACCCTGCATACAGGGCAATGCTGTGGCTCAGTGCTACTCGCATTAACTCCTTTCTGTACTGTTTGAGACCTGTGCAGGTCACAATTGGAAAGCAATTCATTGGGAACAGCCACTCACAGGGACCTGAACTAAGAACTCTTCAGTACCAGGGGCAAAAAGGAGGAAGCTTTTTTCTGTTGATCTGAAATAAAATTTAACAAATCCAAACCTGAAACTTCCATTGTCCTTACAAAACACACATAACTCTTTTGCTGTTTTCTCTCATTTAACATTTTAATCGTTTCCAGAGTCAAGAGCCTTGACACATCCAAGGCCTGGTCTGCTCACCCCATTTAACTGAATAGCTTCAAGACAAATAAAGTCTACCACGGACTGTGGCATACTCCTCATCTTCTACCACTATGCTCTGGCATGAATGAGAACTGATTGTGATATTGAACTGAGCACAATGCAGTTTTAAGGGCTGCAATTTGCTCAGTCTCTTCATAACTCTTCAAAGTTACAATATTGACCTTTCTTTAAGCACCCATTGAGTTTCTACTCAGAAGTGTTAAGATATTTAAAAATGGGCCTATTTGTCTACAAACTGCTTCAAAAATTTAGTTTCCTTTCTTTTTAGCATCTTTTCTCAACCCAATGCAAGATGCAACTAAAAAAATCCAAGATTCTCTCCAAGT